GCGTCGTATCGTCTATCGCTACGGCTATCAAACGTGTCGCATTACCGAACAATCTTCCCCATGTTGCATCGGCAACTCCTCAGTACAAAGTAAATAATATTCACTGTAGTACATAAACGAGTTTCGACATTGTTTAGGTAGTGTCTGTTCGTATATTGCTACTATACAGAATGCGTAAATACCGACACTGATTTGCCAGGGCCTGCCTGTGATTCATCTGATGAACACGTGGCTGAATCGTTTTCATATGCGTTATTACAATGAACAAGATGGTCGGGTGGAATATAAGCAAAGCGAGATAAGACGAGTTTATATCTTTGCCACGATTCAGGGTCAGGAACTCGCGGAGAACGACACTGAACGAAATCGAGCAGGAACGGGTTATAACCATTGATTAAAAATACAATATTTATGCAGGATCTAAGGGGATAGATCTCATTGAACTATTATGGTCATGTGTAATTGGCAGGAAATATGTCCATTTTGTAGCCTTAATTCGTTTCAACGACAATTACGAGCAATTAGGACTGCGACGTCCAACAGCGGTCTGTAATTTCCTATCCTAGATTCTAGACAGCTCAGACTGAGGTGGCAAGCCGGGATTACAGAATCTGATTCGGGAAAGTCGAAGCATGTAGATGGTCCAGCGGCCTATTTTAGATTGCCTTAACTAACTCGTCCATTTATTCAAGGGTACATCGTGAAACTGGCTAGAGTATATTATATCGCGTTATAATTGTTGTTTGTTGCTTTGTAGTAGAAAATAGTGTTTCGTTAGTAACCGTAAATTACCTCGTCTATCGACCAGTTATCGTGCTCACTTTGTCTAGCGTTCGTTTCACTCAAGTCCATTCTTTTATAATCTAAGTAATTACAGCAGCATGCTTCGTACAGTTGTTACTTTCCGAGCCTTTTTCTGGGTCTCTGATCCGTCTGCTGTATTGGGTTGTGTCGAAGCGTTGTATCCATATTGTTGAATTGAAATAGTTGATTACAGTATGTATCACCGGGCTTCGGCTTAGCGATTCTTGAGGAGCAGGATCCTAGTTCAATCGATGCCCGTCTAAGCTAATAGAATATATTACCGGCCACAGATTGAGACTTGCAGTCAGAGCAAGCTGGTATAGCGGAATCGTCATGATGAGCAAGAAGTAATTATTAACAAATGTATGAAGGACGAAGGCTCCCTCGAGTAGTCTCAAATGTATATTTTAGTACGCTTCTTTAAACCTTACGTTTCAGTAGTTTCATAGAACACAGCTACGGGTTGGTAAGTTTGCGTTAACTATAAAATACTGCATTGATATTGTATCAAAGAAAACTATCATTAAAAAAACCTTAGCCAGTAAACTTTAAATATCATAATATAGTATCTGTAAACCTCTGTGACGAATGTAGCAATTCGTATATATTTAGTATATATCTGGTCGGTGCTTACAGGATACAAACGTCGACCAGTTGCAGAATTAAAATACTTCCGGAGTTAAGATGAGTTAAAGTACGAAATGTATACGTCTATCGGAAACAAAATATGTAAAAAAACATTAAATACATATAGTTCAGCTATTTGATATTAATAGAAGCTGTAAACTAAAAAGCTAGAGAGCAATCCGCTATTTGCTCGATTCCTGTTTTTTTTTCCGCATTCAACTTATTTTGGACAAAATAACACTTTTTTTATTTCCTAATTCTTCTGAGTGTCGAAAATAGAGTGTGCAAAGACTATGGGTAATATGTAATCAGAGAACAAGATAATCCTTTTTTTATATTAGCAGGTTTGCACCAACCCGTAAGACTTCTCTATCATCGAGAAACAAGCTTGTCCTTATTAGACAAATTAACAATAGAAAATTCGGCCGTCTACCCTGATACTCGATAGCGAGTACCTGTGTACTTCAATACCCTTTACATTGTTATGCATATATCAACGCAGATAAACGAAAAATTTTTCGCATCCTTTCCCCGAAAATGTTACGCTTCCGTGGGATTACGCAACTAATACTTATACTCAACACGGCCTATTCAGCACAGACTAACTACAGTATACATCGAGCACGAAGTTCTATTTCTCGCTGCCTTCAGTTCCTCTCCTTTACTTCAACGAGATAAACCTTCTACCGAATGACCGGTGTCCCGTTCTACAGATTGAAAAAAACTGGATTATCAGCAACAGTAGTTACCGCGTGTGCACCGAAAGCAATGCATCGCTTGGTGTAATTAAGTAAAAAAAAAAAAAAAGAAAAAGAAAAAAAGAATCACATTTAACTGATTAGGTTAACCAGTTTTTGAATGGACAATTTTCAAAGAGCTGTCGGCCGTCAGCGCGTCACGTTTCCTAGAGTATTTGCTTCACAGGACAGCTATGAAAAGATTTTGATATCTGAACAAATCTGTTATTTGGTGAAGACAACGTAAGCACAAATGTTAATTCATTGTCACTCAATGCCCAAAGAGGCGCATAAATTGTCATGCAACAGCTCTCGGAAAGGCAATAAAGCATGACGGGTTTTACGGATTCTACTGTACATGAAGTTAAAAGTTCAGTTAAATAGTGTTGACGCTTCCTCACAAACATGCTTTTGTAAAGTTCGTTTATTGTCGTATACAGCTAAATCCGGTGTTTAAATGTATGCAGGTCTGAAGTGGCTGGGGTAGGTACTACTCCGGACGTTTAGTTTCAAAATGATTCCAAAGAAATCTATACATTTTCAGCTTAGCATAACCTTGCGGGCGTTTACGATCGGACAACCCATATGCAATGGACGTGCATACAAAGCTCACCTAAAAACGTTGAGAAGAACTCCGAAAAATTAAGACTTTCACGCAGGTCCATCGAATGACATAGTGCATTGCCATCGCCACTTTTGCCACTATCGTGAGCAGTCACGATCGTAATAGTAGTAGCAGTAGTAGCAGTACGAGATAGACGGAGCGGGACTCGACAGGCGTCCCTCCAGCCTTTCGAGAGTAGCATTCGCAAACGATTCATTTGACTATAAGCGAAATGACGCGTCCTAAATGGTACTTAACCTCTGCACTCACCGGCGAGCGTATATAGGTACATATGCGTGTGTGTGCGTGTGCGATGGTATTAGCTGGCCCAAAAACTTTTCTTTCGCGCTTCCTTTTAATTGTACACAACGCCCACATGAACGCCTTGGCTATAGATGGCTATACGTATTACTTCAGCTGAAGGATATGGCCCGACTGCCGCTGTAACAGAATACTTCCGGATACGACACTATGACAACGTCGACCGAGGAAGCGTTTCCCATTGACGCTAACCGGTGGCGTCTACTTGCTATGATATTGTTTTTACTATAAGTATTGTGCTTATTATTCGGTTTGTACTATACCAGAAGTTGATCGCATATAAGTTAAAATACTTGAACACGCTGGATGGCCAATAAGTTCAGTACAATACATCTTCTATGATACGGCGTAGCAGAATCGTCTTTTTGGGAGTGGCAATGAATGCTTGTTTGCTAGATGCATCGGGAGAATAATATTATTGTTTATTAGGGATACGGTGGCTTTACCCAGTTCGTTTACAAATGATCGGAGCCACAAAACACAGTACCGTAACAACGTAATGTCCACAATATGGATACTGAGGTATATTCAAACCGGTTTCTTATTTACAAGCAAAACACGTTAATCATAGACTCTCCCTCAACAAAGAGAGTAAACGAAATATATTAACCTAACAAAAAACAACCAGTCTGGTAGGCCACGAATGGGCTCCAATCTTTTAATAGTTTGACCAACCACGAACTCTCGCTAGGTAGGAAAAAACAAAACTCTCGCTAGGGAATTACTAGCATTATTGAATATTATCTACTTATCGTACAAAGTGGTAGGATATTCTCAGTTAGTATCGTAAACCTTTGGCCTTAGTAGTTTTTAAGAGCACCCAATGCGACAATTGTCATGTAAATTAATTAAAAAAATTAACATTATCATACTTCATTTTGACACGTTTTATAGTTTCGCTAATTTTGCAAAGAAATATCTATCAGATCTCAATTCTAACATTCGTATTATGTGAGCCCAGCTTTAACTCTATAGACTGGAAGAATATAAACAATGGGTCTCTAGTGATTAGAACAATGTGTCAGCAACATGTAACCTTAAAGATGTACATCGATTTCACCTAGGATTTTGATGCCCAATTATTATTTCCACTTTAACTGCGCCGGTTTCAAGATATCTTAAACTTCTAAAGCACGCTGCAGATCGTGCACACCAGTGCGACAAACGGTTATGGTCAACATTAGAGATTTAATAACTTTCTACAGGGAAATATCTGAGTTTGCCTTGAGAACTAAAAATAACACAACTGCTAGGCGATATGCCTGAAAAATTCTTCGCCGTCATGATACAACTAATTGGTTGTTACTTGCTGTCCAAATATTACGGAAGAGAAGATCTGCTGACGTTTTTCTAAAGTCATGTTTGCAACAGCGGTCAGCGAAGACGCTATTGTGATACAGAACAGGGGAACTAGACGCGCTGTACGACGTGTTTCTATTTTTGTCCTTTCTGTGCTTACGACAAAACCGATTCAGTAAAAAAATGTGTGGTCTTGTCTAAAAAGTTCTATGGTGCCTTTGGCATGGCCTTGGGCCTTGTAATCTGGCAACTTTGGCCGCTGTCGAGTGTCTGGGCTTTGACTTTGACCGAACGATAAATTCAATGTTGTGTTTGGCCCAGCGGAGTAGACGGGGAGCCGTGAGATGCCTGCGACTAAATGAGACAAAGCACTTCCTCTATCCATGAGGCCTTATGTAAACAGCAGCATATTTTCGCACATAGTTACTAATGCATACGATCGTAGACACGAGTGAACCATTGAAACAGCGCACAGTCAAGAAAGAGAGCAAAGCCTGATTCATGGTCAGGAACAGGCAGATCAAAGAAGGCTAGAAACGAACGTCTGTTGACATGAGGGTGGCGAACTCGTCTACAGCAGAGTTTCGATATAGAAGCTATCGCATCGTCGTACTTCAGAGGACCTGTCATAGAATATTTCAAGAAGGGGACCTGGACTTTTGACGTCAGCAGAGATCTCGCACGGTTCTGTACGACAGAAAAAAACAAATAGGTTGATTAGCTGTGTTCAACATGCTCGAGTAATCGCTTGAACGGTAAATACATTGAGAGATAAGTTTGGCCTATGGATTGTCGTTATTTGGGGAAGGCATGATGCTAATTCGGAAGACGTCGCAAGTCTACACCATCAATGTGCCTGAGGTTAGTACTTTTGCTTCGTTCTTCATGCGATTCGTTCATCATTTACGTCGTTTAGTTTCTTTAAATATTAATATCTACTAATAAAACAATTAGGAATTTTGTCATTATACACACGGATACCTGTACTTGATTATTAACGATGTGAAAGCAATCGTTCCTAGAATTCCGTGGATGTTAGTCTGTTCTATGGGTAACGCGGTTGTTTGACGCCATTGTGAAATCCAGTTACACGAATGAGCAATCTTCATGGCTGTCTTATAAATATGGATAGGTCGTGGTTCTACTGGGTGACGCCTTATTACTACAAGCTCTTTTCGTCTGTCGCATTTCTCGTTAACTTCCTCACGCCCCTTGGGGTCCAAAGTGCATCTGCTTTCACTGCTTACATTCATACTTGTGTAATGTGCAGGCGTATAGCTAACACGATTTAGTGGTCCCTGTAGATTTCGCCACTACCCGCTACCGAACCGCTGGTTTCTCGGCAATTCCACGATCAATCTCCACCATCCCCACCTCGTCTCGTCAAGCTCACTAACTCTTGAAGCCCGACACGAGAGACAAACAATAGCAGCCAGTGACATAAAAATGTGTCGCGCAGCGTTAGTCCATTTATATATATACATATATAGGTATAATTTAGTTCGAGTATCTTTTAGATTGCATTTTTTTAAGGCGATTCGATGCAGGCCCCGTTCGTCGATTTGGCCTAGAAGGCACACAAACTTCGACTCACTAATGCTACTGCTACAAGTGGTACGAGCACTGCTTGTGTGAATAGATTACCGAACACTGATCAGAATTGTCAGACGTCAGCACCTTAGATCAATTGTGATAGCTGTATTAATTTTTTTTTCCCGAAGTATTTACGTCATATCTTTACGTCTGGTAGTTAAAGAACGCGTGTGTAGAGCGGTCGCGAAAAAGGCCGTCTCTCGGCGCGGATTTTGTTGAACGGGAGACTCAGAACAAGGCGAACTAGTAGCGCGAATAGAGTGCCATTGCTTGCGTAAAACGTACTAAGGAAAGGTCACGGCTGCAAGATTTTTCCGTTCTGACCTATGGGCTGCGTTCGTTGTCATCACTAGCTGTGTAAGTTGTACGTGAGTGTACAATCTTTCGTGCATCATCACTTTAGCTAACACCGAAGTATAGTCGCTCACACAAATTGCTGATAACATAGTGGTTCTAGCGATCGAAGTTACGTGTTGAAGACTGAAGAACACCTCGATCCGCTTTTTTGTGTGCACGCGATGGCTTTGTAAAGACGATCTCTTGCACGTTCCTAGTATATTGCGTATCGTGCATTCACATGTATGCAATTGTAGTTTCCGCTTCGCCTATAGCGGTCCAAAAAGACGCGCACTATCGATTGTACGTTATTCATCTTTTAACTTCATCTTCTATGAGCTTTCTTGGACGTCGCATGCTTTTCAAAGAATAATACGCATTCACGTTTGACTTACGTTAGTGGCGGAAAACCAGCCCACTGTTTGGTCTGCCCACTGTAGGGTTCTTAGACATGACAAATAAGGGATCCCTAAATATCATCATCAGTTATTATAGTGTTAATTTCACGCTACTTATTAGCTTGGCCTCTATCGTCATGATCTCATAAACCAGCCTGACATATACTGAAACCTTTAAAAAACTGATTTAATTAATATCACTAAAGAGCTACACAATTAAAATGGTTTGCTTTACTATTACCTACCAATTTTTTGTGCCCCGTTTTTATAGGACGAAAATAGACGTAGCGGCTTCGAGCCCGGCGATCGAGATCGCTGCGGCGGCTGCCAGTTTTATACGTTCGGCATTGTATTCACCGTCTGCGTGTCTCTTGTGTTTGTATTCGCTGTTACCTGTATGATGCGCCTTAGAATTGATCGGAGTGGCAAATGTGACCAAGGGATTTCAATCACGATTCGAACCGACGTCAGTGAGCCACGACCCACTGATCGATCAGTAAACTGTGACATTAACCTGTTACAGCCCTCAACGTCGGAAACTCCAACCGCAGCACCGAAAAGGCCGAATCAGACCAAAGAAAATATGGGCGAACGGCTAAATAGTGTAGATATAGACAAACCTACTCATGACGATAAGCAAGAAAAACGACCTTAAGCATTCATGTGGATCAATCAGGGTAAAAACAACTGAAGTGTAGAGTCGGCATTATGAACAATGTGCTTCTACACATACAGCGCTGTTTGTCCGTAGATAGTTTGTGCTTATTCAGGCAAATTGTAACAAAACAATAGTCTGAGCCTAGTCATAATCTCCTCATCAATGAATACTGGCGCTTTCCTTTCGAATAGTATCGTTCTATCTACCGATTTTATTTTCCTTTTTTTGTAACATTATCCTTAGACAGGAGTTTCGAACTTTATACGATTTGCCCGGCTGTTTTTCCTACCTATCTAAATATTTCGAGCTACACGTCCGGTAGCGTTGTTACGCGCTCGATTATACAGCCGACCCTTTCAAACACGGAACACGAAATGTGATCATGCTAAGACTGCAAGTTCAGGGGACAGATACTTTGTATAGGCAGGTAAAAGCATGTGTTTTTCTGCACGTCGTTTCTGGTAACGGTAAAGAGAGCCTCCTGATTAGTATAACGGGTTGACATCGGCTAGAAAAGCATATAAAAAACTAAGCCAATAGCGGAGGCATGAAGAGACCCCCAAGCGGATCAGTGCGACGTTCAGCCACTGGAAACAGCAAACGAACACGATTCTTTCGATCATTTAAGTGTGGAAAATATAATCTGATGCTACTGAATCTGTGTGAGAACGCCGCATTAAAACTGGGCTTTAATTATATTGGTTTCTTTAGAAAAATGATAGCAATACGGCTTGATTCAATTTAAGTAGTCAACACACCTTTCCTTACATTCTGCACTTGACACCTTAGCTATATATATATATATATATATATATATATATATATATATATATAGCGTTGCACCGGTCGACTGACTAGCTTCCGCCTTGAAACGGAGCTCGGGTCACTGACCAAACGAGATGAATTCCGTTCTTCTGATCCAGAAGAAAGTAAATAGCTAATCCGCGAACCAGCAGTAAAAATATAGCTTTTCTTTCGGCAGCTTCGAATCTTGTGGCGCTTACAGATCCCGTACGGATGCGGTCATATCGTGACTGAACGTGTTTAGAAGCCATGATGCCTTCGCAGGAAGTTCACAAAAAGCCAGCATCAAATTGACACACCATCTTTTATGAAAACATCAATTAGTGACCGCTTTGTCGACAAGCTCTGTTCGAAGGTAACATTTTTACGGTAGGCAATCTCTGTGCTCTATTGACCAGTTTCGAACACAATTATGGATTGAAGTGGACGCATATCGATCGCTCATTAGCAAGCCTTGCCAGGCCGTAGTCATATAAAGAACACACAGACAGTGAAAACAGCTTTCGATGGAGAAAAAAAAACCAGCGTTTACGTCCATTTTTGCTCGATCGTTCAATTGGTATGACGAGCCATTATCTATAGTACAGCTCACGCAGTACCGATATACGCAATGATATTATTATAGATAGCTGCATACAATAATATAATACGTTTGTGTGTGTCGACGGAGATTTTCAATTGAAAAAGTTTGTAAAGGAAACCCGAAATCAACTGATAGAATACAAGTGGTTTCGATCGCTATGTAGATAAAGTAAATTCAACTTAAAATGGCAAAGTTAAGGTGAAGTTGTGGCGTTCCAACAACGCTCAATCGTTATTTATTTGTAATCGAAACTATTGCAGTTTAGCGCGCTAAAAATAATAGATTTATCGGTTTAATGATCAGTCTGACGTCCGGAACCACGTGAACTATAATAGTGAACAGCATTACCGCAATAACGGCCTGAACACACTGAACAAGAAACTATTATTAAATACATGTTTACCAATTACCTTCATTCTGTGCCTGTTGATTTTTCGTTTCCGTACCTGTGTGGGCCTGGCAATTATATGATATCGCATTATTATTATTATTAAACTGATGCGACATAAACCTCTTATAATCAGCCAAGACCCCAACAAGTATGCCTAGCTATTTCCGACCAATTAAGGGCTTATTGGGACAAACAACGCATTGGATGACAAAAGACATACTATCCATTCAATCCGTGCTGACGTTACATAGAAGTTATTTTCATCAGCCAACCTAATACCCTTAACCTGCAATATTGAAATTTTAGTGAGAACCCGTAATTCTATAACCGTCCCGGGACACCTTCATTTGCTCCCGAATAACGTGTTTAGGTCTGAACAAATAATTGTTATGCAACTTAGTGTTGGACGCTGGACTAGGACCCATGTAAAAATGGGCTCTCAATGAATGCAATTATTGCTCACGAAAAGACCACCCGCTGCAAACAATGGACGTTTGTGGACCAGGAACCCGCCCGCCAGCCGTAATCTTTATCCTATTGAAGCATGTAACTACTAGATATGCGCCAGATAAATCTGTGACAGATAAAAACTCTCGTTCTGTGCTACTTGTGCCATGTCTTTGTCACAGAGTCGAAAACCTGCCCGACTCACAGGAATCTAGTCGGGATTGGTCTCGCTGTTGAACGGACTTCTGAAACGGTATGGTAATTGTGTAAGTAGCGCTTTTGTAGTTCTTCGCCTACCTGGAGACATAATTTTCGGTGTTTGGAAATGATTTTTAGCAGTAATCTTAGCAATGCTGAACTTTGACCGCACGCTTGTTTATCATGTAGCATAGATATTCAAGCAGATGTGCATTAATTATCCAAACTATCTCGACCCCCTGTACTTGAGCTCTGTCATCTGTCGTCATCAGCCACAAACGGAGTCTGACTCTGATATCAGATGTTTTTGTTAACTATTGATCTCGAATTGACCAAATGCGCCATGTAAACGCCATGTGTGAAGAATGTAACTCTGAATTGTGACCATTACGCTTTGACCGTAGTTAGGAATAGCCAGTCAACTTATTAACAGGAACGTACATCACACGCAAAATGAAAAAAATAGGGTTTTTTTACATCTCTGAATATCCGTCTTGTTGTACAGCTCATGTGCCTTTTCTTCTAAGGATATGTGTCAGAATTTTAGGTATTGTGACTGTAATCATTTTTAGGAGTAGGTATAACAAGAGGTATTATGATTTTAGAACCAAGGAGAAAACAGGACGTCAGGTAGCTCACAAGTTGTCAGGCTTCACCCAAAAGGTGGCAGTTTTTTAATTAGATTAATTAGCTATTTTTTTGGAGTCAGCGGTCAGTATGTACAGGTAAAAAATATTTTTGATAGTCACTGGCCAACGTTTTTGTTCTTTGTCATAATACACAGTCGAGCAAAAAACATTTGCTGGGTATGTTTTTCTGTACCGCCTGTGTAAATGTCCCACCCTGAACGACATATCACGTTTTATTCGAGAAAACGGCTCGAAATAATTTTCCACAAATAAATACCGCTATTGAGCGAGGTATAATATAATGATTATGGCGCAGGTATAGTGTACAGTTTGTACCCGCAATGTAATACCAATTTCCACTCAACAGGTTTACATTGGGGCTTTGCAGCTTTACCCTAAAGTGCATATAAATCGCGGAATGCAATGAATAATCTCGTCTATACTACGAAACACTAACGTCTTCGCTCAAGTCAACGAATAGAACGACTTTTACCTTAATTTTATTATAAAGTTAGTCCATGTCAGCTCACAAGTTAGCTTGAAGGTGTAAATGAGGAAAACCTGACTAATGTAAGCTGATGTTTTAAGGCACAATGCAACCTAACGCATTTGCTTATCTGAGTATATCCAGCAGACCGGATACGCGTCCATGCAACGCTACTGGAAGGTGAGAACTGTTAATGCCTTTAGCATTTGTTTAGGGGAAAGTCAGGTGTCTTCTATTCGATACAAGGAAATAGCCTTGTTTTCACCGTGACGCATCACTATCTGATGACACTGTAATCGGTCAGATTCATATTCCCTAAGAATCCTTTGGTGCTGCGTCTACATCGAACGTTGCATGTGCATGTAGTAGCTTCTTTATACAAGCGCCCAGGATAACTTCACTGACGCTCGTACGGGTTCGATTTCATTGATCGTGCTGTCAATTTACGTTTACCGATACCGCCTTTAAGTTGTTCGAACCTACCATAAACTCCGACCTGCGAAGGGACTGTTCCTGTTGGATATCTGTGCCATAACTTCCCGTTGGATAGAGTTCACATCACTCGGATAGCCGCTTTTGAATTTGATGTTGTTTGGTGTTCGTACACACCCAGAGCGAGTGATTTTCTAAGTTTCGACATTAAACTAGCTTCTCTTAGGTTCTACTAAGCTGATCAAACGAATATCTACATATAGCCGAACCGATTTCAATCCGAAACGTTCGATTCTAGCGTCACTTAATTTAATAACTGTTTCTTCCATAAAAAAACACAGCGGCATCAAGTGTGGACGAGCTTTGAAGATGGCACCCAAATCACTTTAATAAAAACGGATACCAATCCTTTGAAGTATCCGATACATCGTCTAACAAATATATTCGACCAGAAGGGAGCGCATTTGTCGCTTAGGAACTCGTGAGCGCTGCTGTGCAATTAAACTCGAAGAAGTTGGGGGGTCGAAATTCGTTCGACGTTGCCGTTAAGGTTCTGTGGTACAAAGCACCTAGAGATGAAATATGAAGTCCCCCTGAGCTGCTACAGGATTGTTTTTTGCTTACAATTGCGCCTTCACCGTTTGTACACGTACGTGAGCAGTAAGTTTACTGAAGCTATGCATCGAACATTTAGTGCAAGACAGCGACTCAACACTGACAAAATAGCAAACAATGTCCATCCTGATGATTTCACAAAATCGACCAGGAACGACCTGTCACGATGATGCTACGTAATCGACAAGTTACTTTTACAAGTATATATAAATCTTATTAAAGCGGCAGGTTTGATACGGCTTTAATGCTGCTTATCTGATTTCAAGCGACGAACAGCGTTCCGTTAGACTCTGTAATGTTTTCGGTGACGAATAGTACTAAACGGAAGCGTCTCTCGAGAGATATACGTTATGCTACGCGTTTGAGCATAGTTTGGCTATACCTCACCGCCGCAGCAATACGGGATAAGCAGACCAGTTAGTTGTCTAGAGAAATCCGATAAAAACCGCCTCCTACAAGATCCGTGTAAACCTCTCTCTCTCTCTCTCTCGCCTTCTTTAAAAGACCCTACAGTGCTGCCAGATATTCGGCTAGAGTTGAATGATCGCTACCTGCGTATAGCTGACATAGAGATTTGAAGAAATGAGTCGTTGCGGAACGACCTTCAGGTCGTAGTCTGCGTTAACTTCTATAGAATTATTTTTAGTTCCACAGTTCTGTTTTGTGCAGGACAACTTTCTTCTGATTCAATCTATGGGCTGTGTTGTACACGGTGTTAAACGAGGCAAAACGTTTCTTAATTACTAAACGGTGTGTAAAGGCAAATGAATAAGGCGTCTAGTAACGTTATCAAATCGATTCAGAGACGAATAATAATTACTCCGCTGCTATCCACAGAATTATTTACAATTGGAAGTTGTCATAAGTAGAAGTTGTGATGCTTTAGGACAACATTGCAAAAGGCAAGCCTTTGCCGTGGAAACTCCACTGACGATAGATCCAAATCGATGTAACCATCGTAAACGGGAAATACTTACTGAAATCCGTTTGTCTTATGTTAGCAGCAGCTAGCGAAAGTAATCGAGTTGAGCGGCCGACGTAAGTTAAAAAGAAATACTAGGTTTTAAAATTCAACAGGTAGCGGAACCTAACCGCTCGGATATTTCGAAATTAAAATAGTTACAAAATATAAATCGAGTAAATGCGTTAGGTAAAACTATTCGGGTTTATT